AAATGGGAATATGTTCCTACCCAACTCATACGCTGTTTATGAGGATCCGATGAGAGGTAGGTTGTAAGCACACTCGGCCAGTTGTGAAGGGCACGTGTGTGAGGACGGTCAGCAGATCCCCGAAGGTATTAAAACTTGTCTCAAAGATCTTGGTGGCTTGAAGGGACTCAGGTGGCCACTCAGCCTAGCGTGAGTCATCAAGAATGAGGGCCGAGATAACCACACCTGAAACCCTCTGTTCAGACAGAGGCATATGGAAACTTTGAATGAGGGATCTGGACTCTTGACCTGATTTGGCCATTTCCAAATATCTGAGGACTAGTTGAGAAGATTTAAATTGTTCTGTGTGGGTCTGAGTCATCGCCAAATGCCAAAAGAGTTGTTAGAGGTGGCAGATTTCAGCTCAGTCTTTGGATAAAATTTCCTCAACCAAGGAAATGCCACCTGAGGAAGTAATGAGTTCTCGGTCACTGGAGGCTTCAAAGCCTGGCCAGCCCCCAGGAGGCTGAGTCAGGCTTGATGAGGGCTGACTCCCCTCTTTCCTTGTCTGAGGTCTTGGGGGTCCTGGCAGCCTCTCCCAGCCCTTGTGCCTGTTGCTCACCCTGTACCTCTGAGGCCATCTCTCAGAAACCACCTTCTTCAGTGCCTATAAACACCGGGAAGGCCTTAGGATGCTCAGGGTTTGTTTGGTCTCCACCAGAGCACACAGCTGACAACCCTCCTGGTTCCATCGCCTCACCTGAGGATTCTTGAGCCCTGTGCTCATTAACCCTCAAGCCCTTCAGGGGCAGCCGAATCTCTCCGTCCAAGGTTTGGGTTTCAGTCTTCCCAAAACCCTCAGAAATGTCCCTGATATGGGCAGTGTTAGTCCAGTCGGGGCAAAGCTCCTAATGGAGGGCCGCTGGTGGGTGCCTCCAGCGCATTCCCTCTGGGGGAGTGGCACCCAGAGCCCAGAGGGGAGGGAAGCAGGGGCTGGCTCGTGGGCAGCATTCCGTGGTTGTTTCTGTGCACATGCTAACAGACTTTTCCCACTGTTACATAATTGAGGTATTTTTCCCCTTTCCTATTTTAGATCCTGGTGCCATCTGCCCTGCTTTTCATGCATCACTAGCTCCAGGCTGGAGGTTAGATCTGGCTTGGCTGCCCAGCTCTATCCCTCACTTGGTGAGAGACTTGGAGCAGTCTGTTTCCTTAGGTATAAAATGAGATACTGACTCCACCCTCCCTACCTCCCAGGGCTACTGTGAGAATTAGGGGAGAGGAAGGGGTGAACTTGCTATGGAATGTACCCAAACTATACAGATGTCCCTCGTTGTTACCTGGCAACCTGAGCCTGGTGCCACCTGAACCAGGGGAGCCTCTGCTTGCTCGTGTCTGTACCTGCACCAGGTATGCACTGCTTTGCAGGGCTAGACCCCGTTTGAAATACAGGAAATGAACAGGCCTCACAAGTGGGGTGTCTTTGGCAGGCCCCCTGCTGTGGGCAGCAGAGGCACAGCTCAAGCAGCTGGTGGCAGGCAGGGCCAGGCTAGCCTGTCACCTGCTCACAGCGGTGGAATGTTAAGCACAGCATGTGCTCTGTACCAAGGCATTGTCAGGAGAGCTTGCAAAAAACCCTCACCCGGCCTCCAGCCATCGGGAGGTTAGTGCTGGCTGAAAGCAGCAGGCCACGGGTCCCACAGACAGAGGTACTACTGCAAAGTCTGGGGTGCAAGCTGAGCCTCGCCTGACGCCCCTCCCACAGTGCTAGGCTTTGGCTACATGCTTTCCCTCCTCTTGCCTGAGCCACCAATTGGGGCCCTGGACTGAGAGCCACTTGCTGAAGGTCACACCACAGGGGTGGCAGAGCAGGACTGGCAGGGGGTCCTGGACTCCCCCTCCCCACTTCAAAGGCCCTGGGGAAGATCAAATGAAATCATGAATGCTTGGTCCCTGGCCCAGAGACTGGCTGACTGGGAAAGGGGAGTACACACCAAGGGACCCCGAGACAGAGGGAGAAACATCTTCAAGCCCCCTGACCCAGGGAATCCTTCCAAGGGGTAGAAGGATGGAGACAATGCTCCTACCCAAGGCAGTGCCTGTGGATGCCATTTGTTCCCAGGACTGGACAGTGAGAGCTGGGTGGCAGCCCCTGGAGGCCTCCTTCCTCCCCTCAACCCCACAAGGAGGGGCAGCTCTCTGCTGACAATCAGTGAGGGTCTAGGTGCCTGCTGACCCTGACCCACCTAGTTCCGAGAACTGATGGGGCCACAGGGGAGGTGATGGTGAACAGCAGCACTCAGGAGACTTTCAAGTGCCCGCTGGGTCTGCCCAGATCCACTGTGATGCTAGCTGAGTTAATTCCCCTCTTGGGAACAACCACTTCTGTTCTGCCCACCTCAGCCAGCTCTTGTAAGGATCAAATCTAGGCCCTGGCCGGTTTGGCCCAGCGGTTAGAGCATCGGCCCGCAGACCAGAGAGACCAGGGTTCGGTTCCCCCTTAAGGCACGTACCTTGGTTGCAGTTTGTCCTTGGCCCTGGTTGAGGTCGTATAGATGGCAACCACTCAGTGTGTCTCTCTCACATTGATGTTTCTCTCTCTCTCTTCCTCCCTCTCCCCCTCCCTCTCTATCTGAAGATGAATGCAAAAGTGTCCTCAGGTGAGGATTTTAAAAAAAAAAGGATCAAATCTAGACTCTGCACCTCAGTAGGCACTAAGCTGCCAGAAGGTGAAAGATCAATGTGAGGTTTTAATTAGCACTGAGATGATTTGGAGGGGAGGTTTTCTGGGCTTTTCATTCACGTGGATAAAAATGAAAAATCAGGGCAGCCTGCAGGCCAGCCTAGTAGTTCTCTCTTTCTTCTGGAGACCACAGCAGACTTGGATGCAGCTTCTCTAGTGTTCAGTTTACTGCTGATGCCAGCTCTGAGCATGTGACCAGCCCCCCTCCTGCTAGCTCCCAGCTATCTGTGCATTCATGGACCAAGTGTTGCATTCATTTTCCTTTTAATAAAATTAAATATGCCAGCAAAAGATGTAAAAATGCAATTCTGAAAGGCAATCTCTGTAAAACAAAAGGATCCTATTGTTATGTAAACACGATAGCCATCAAATGTTCCTCTCTGGGCTCTGCAGAATTTCAGACCTGCCTGCCCAACCTGTCATCCCCGAAGGCCCTCTCAGCCTCACCTGGAAGAAGGGAGATGAGACTGGGCATACCTGACTGAAGACAGGGAACCAAGGCCCAAAATGCAGGGTGAATTTGCTCACTGTGGGATCCGCTTTTCCGTGGCACTGCCTGAGCCCTGAGGTCAGTCCCAGCTGCCCAGGTTCTTCTGCCTTCTCCTAGCACCAGGCTCCGCGTTTTAGCCAGGCAGCTACTAGAGCAGCAGGAACGCTGTTTCTAAAGGGCTTTGCATCTTTGTGCCAGCGGGGATCACAAACCCTTTGAGACCGACCTCAGGCAAGAGTGGAAGCTCCCAGCCAGGAGCAGAGGCTGCTCCGGCTGCGGAAGCAGGGCGCCCTCTAGTGGCGAGCCTAGCCCTTCTAGGGAGAGACGGAAGTGCAGTGCTAATGTGATTTGCAAGGCTGGCACTCAGGATTCCAGCAGTCCTAGGCCTGCAGCCATCTGGAGGAGAGTAGTGCCTGGTTCTGGTCCAAATGTTCAGGCCCTGGGAAATTTCAAAGACGTCAGCCTTCAGAACCAACCCCAAGAAGTGATGACACAGACTGTCTATCAGTGACCTGGTTTCTTAGTTAAAAATAAGGCCACAGCCCTGGCCAGTGTGGCTCAGTTGGTAGGACATCGTCCTGTGCACCAAGAGGTTGCCAGTTCGATTCCCAGTCAAGGCCTCATGCCTGTGTTGCAGGCTCGATCCCCAGGAGGAGGCATGCAGGAGGCAGCCGACTGATATTGTGCTCTCACATCGATGTTTCTCTCTCTCTCCTCCTCTCCCTTTTTCTCTCTCTAAAAATCAATAAACTATTCTTTAAAAAAAAAAAAAAAATAAGGTGCCTTGGCTGGTTTGGCTCAGTAGTTAGAGCGTCGGCCCAAGGACCAAAGAGTCGTGGGTTCGATTCCGGCAAGAGCATGTACCTCAGGTTGCAGTTCGTCCCCAGCCCTAGTTGGGTTGTGCAGGAGGCAGCCAGTCGATGTGTCTCTCTCACGTCAATGTTTCTCTCTCTCTCTCTCTCTCTCTCTCTCTCTCTCTCTCTCCACTCTATCTGATGATAAACAGAAAAATGTCCTCGGGTAAAAAATAAATAAAAATTTAAAAAGATGTAAGGCCACAGCAGGAAGGCAAGCCATCAGTGAAAGCCACCCTGAGTCCTACAGAACAGAGTGTATATGTGTGTGTGAACATGTGTGAGAGTGAGCACCACATGAGACAGGCAGATCCTCCAGACCACCCCTGGGGCAGAGGGTGCCACAGTGTCTGCCTTTGCACCACAGCTCCTGCCAAGGATGCCCCATTAACAGGGGTCCTACCCCAGGCAAAACTAAGCAGACCCAAACCAGAAACTGTCCTCTCAGCCAAAGAACATCTCCACAAGCCTGTGCTAAGTCTTGAGAGAGGCTGGAGAAATCTCCAGTGGAAATCTCCACAGTGTCCCCACCCGCTCCGCACAGTCAGTTCTGCTTGGCTGTGGCCACACACACTGGCACCGTGGACATGCAGAGACGCGTCATGGGCACACGGTATGTAAGTCTCAGGCAGGGTCACGGGTCTCAGAGGACTCAGCTGGATCCAGAGCACCCTAAAACGTGAAGCATTCCCACAGCAGTGACAGGAACACAGGACTTAGATCATTTACAAGCAAGAAAAGGACTGTTCACATATCCTCTTTGGGCCTCAAATTCTGTGTGTACAGAAGAAAATAATCTGTTCCCTTACTCATGAGGCTGGCTTAAGGATCAAATGAGATAAAATTTTTGAATGGGGTTTTGGCTTAAAATGTAAAAGATTTGGACTCTATTTTATAATAAATCTGTTTTTAATATAAAGATGTTTCCCCAAAATCTTTGTATAAAATCAACTCCAGAAACACAGATGCACCATGTCTGCCCTGAAGTTTAGGGGCCCAGCCCACCACTCCAGCCCCGGCAGAGGAGGCCCGAGCACACACGGCGCACGCAGTCGGGCTGGGCTACCCCTCGGGCTGATGCTAGTACTGGTAGTGGGTCTTCCTGGGACGGTGGGCAATCCACAAGTGGGTAATGAGGAGGTGACTCTACAAGCTCCTTCTTCCCTCCCTCCTCCTCACCCCTCCCACCAGGCTCCAGCTGGAAACTCTTCAGTGCACATAGATCCTGTCGGAGATGGCTCCGGGCAAGTGCGTCATGATCTGCATCCGCAGCCACCAGTAGTAGTCCATGGGGTGGTAGCGGGTGTAGGGGTTGGCGGCGGTCAGGGCGTGGGTGACGGCGTTGATGACGGGGGTGGTGTCGGTGGAGCCACTGTTGCAGTAGGTCTCCATGGTGGCGATCTTCTCATCAAAGTACTTCTTGCCGTAGTCCTTGCGCACCACCTCAGGCAGCTCGTCCCACATCTTGGTGGCGATGGCCTGGATGCGCTCGGGACTGTAGAGGCTGGTGGCAGCGATGAAGTTGCCGGGTTCCACCACACAGACCTTCACACCCAGAGGGTGCATCTCGTAGCGCAGGCAGTCAGAGAAAGCCTCCACCCCGAACTTGGTGATGCAGTACGGGGAGCGCGCCGGGTTGGCCATGCGGCCCAGCATGCTGCTGATGTTGACGATGCGGCCTGCGGAGGAAGACAGCGAGCACCTGCTCAGGGCACCGCCCGGTGGGGCAGAGGGCCTGGGGCCTGGCATGTTTCCAGAGGCCTGGCTGCAATCTGACCTCCTGGCCTAATACTTATTTTGCTGCCTGCCAGGCTGGGGCCCGGCCTTCTGTACCACCCAAGGTCAAAGGGCCTTCTGATTCAGAGTCAAGGCCAGCTCAGACCCACACATCGGCATCAACGTCCCTGATATTTCCCAGGTAACCAGCTGTGCCGGGCAGGACAGGCGAGGAGAAATGAGTGAGAAGCAGGCCTGCAGACCAGGAGGGCACCGTATAGTGCACAACACACAACTAAGCTGTTTCACCTCCCACGTTCGCCCATCGTTCCCCCCCCCCCCCAAATGTTATCACCTGGCAGTGCTCTGTTGGTAACGGGGAGGGGTGAGGGCAGGGGCAGGGTTCTGAACCTGGCTTTAGGGCTGGGACATGAGGGCAGTCTGGGCACTGGGAGAGAGTGATGACCGCAAGGGGCTCTCAGAGGCCCAGCCCGGGTGTGCTAGGAGCTGACACCTGCCCTGGGGGTGGATGGTGGAAGTGGAGCCCATCCAGACAGCCAGGCAGACCTGGGACCCGCTCACCCTGGGTGCACCCAGGAAGTAAAGGCTCAGCCCCATCCCGGGCGCTGTGGGAGGCTCCCTTCAGAAACCTGTAAGTTGGAAGTCACTGAAGGGGTGCAGTTTTCTTCTAAAATCCTACAGCACTCTCCAGGTTCATCCTGTCACTGCCGGGACCTTAGAATTGACCATATGGATCTCTCCTTTTTGCCATGATTGTTTGCTGTTCTAAGGGAGAACTTCTAAGTCGGCACCTTCTTAGGTGGTTTGCTTACATTTGGCTACCTAACACGGTTTGGGTATTTTGTCTGTTTTCCAAATTTCTACTCCTATTCTTATTTTTTTTCCATATTAGCAAATCGTCTCATTTTTTAAGTATGGCATAGCAATGCATGGAACGGATATGCTAATATTTACTTAACCACACCCTCACTGATACCGTGATGTACACAAAGCTCTGTACACAGGGTGTTATTGCTCCAGGCGAGGCTCCCAGAGTAGGCTTTACCACTGCTGCACCGACTGCTGACCTCCCCTGCTGCACTCTCTGGGAACCACACATCCCTCTCCCCGGCCAGGCTGTGGAACCTCCGCCCACAAGCCCCGCACGGCCCCTGAGTCATGTGCTTGGCCTGGGCTGTGGATGTGGGTCTGCTGAGACCTGTTCCCATTGTGAGCAAAGAGTGAAAGGTGGGGCAGGTCCAGGGGTCAGGAGGAAAGTCCCTTCCCAACTCACCTTTGGCCCTGCGGATGAGGGGGAGGAAGGACTTTGTTGTCCGCACTGTGCCCCAGAGGTTCACTTCTGCCACCTCCTTGTAGGTCTCCATGCTGGTGAACTCCACCTCCCCAAATGTTGAGATGCCCGCGTTGTTAACCAGGCCCCACATGCCTGGATGGGAGGGTACAGAACCGAGGTCACCACATGGGCTAGGTCACCCACCAGTCTGCAGCCCAGTCCCCTCCCCACTTTCATCCTTTCCCCCGTGACTTGCCAGCTTTGTGCCCAAGGCTCTCGGGACCCCTTCTAGAGTCACCAAGGAAACAGGAGATAGTGCTGGCTCTAACCTTCCCTTAAGCCTAGACTGTTCAATCCTTGCCTTTCTTCTGCCATAATCTAGCCTCTGAGCCCGCCATGACCCAGCCATGTGGTGCCCCCGCCTGGAGTCCCGCCTCGCCTCTGCACCCAACCCTGCCTCTGAGCCTTCGCTTGTGTCCCCCTCTTGCCAGAAGCCAGGGGAACCTCAAGCGTCTTCCAGGCCAAGCCTCTCTGGAAGACCAGAGAGGGACCCAGCGTCCAAAGTCACACAGCACGTTAGAGGCTCAGCCAAGCCTTGATCTCGGCTGGGTGCCCCATCCTGCCTCACCCTGAGACCCACCTCACTCTGACTCCACGCCGACCTCCCTTCTCCAAACCATGCACTGTTGTAGGTTATCAAGTGCAAGCCCTCGAGACCTGGTAACCTATTTGTCAATATCCCGTGTGTATACACCTGGTCTGTGCAGGCAGAGAATACCCCCCAGCCTTGTGAGGCCCCACGGGGCTGAGCGCAGGGTCGGAGCAAATGTACACTCTCCCCCAAGTATCCTTGTGTTGACTGTCTCCAGTAAGACCAGCACCGGGACAGCCGGCTTTTATAGACACAGAACGTGGGTGCTAGAAAGCTCCTTGGAGGTCACTTGGTCTGATAAGTAATGTCAGAAACAGGGATGTGGAGGCCCTGAGGGGAAAGGACTGGCTTCCATGCGTCCAGGAAGTCGGAGGCAGAGCCTGACTGGGGGATGGCAGTGAGGGGAAGCCGTGCTTTCCAGGGCTCTCTCTGAGTTCAGAGTTTTGGAGTGCAAGGACTGGATGGGCTAGTCTCTGTTGTGGATCCCTCAGGTCGGTCTCCTGTGGCCGTGAAAGCCTGGGGGCAGGGCTGCCCTCCTGGGGGCTGGCCCCTGGCCTCTGGGGCTCTGGCCCAGCTGCTTTCTGAGTTCTTCATGGAGTCTGTGTAAGTGACGGAGTAACTTCTCTACTGCTGCCTTCCTGTTACCCAGATTCAAGCTTTGTCAACTGACCTCCGGGGCCTTCTCCTTCGATTATGGAAAATTAAGGACGTTTATTAGGGAATGGAAATTGCTGGTTAACAAATAGCCCATGAAGTTCTCACTCCCAATCCCTGCGAGAGCTGAGAGCTAAAGCGTCAGCTCTTAGTCTCACTGGTGCCCCTGCATTGACTCAGCCCCTGCAACACCCCCCCCCCCAGCTGCACAGCTGCAGTGCCCTCCCCGCCCCAGCCCTGCAGGGTTCCCACCCCTCCTCTTCCCAGGAGGCCCCTCTCTCCACCTGCCAAGGCTGACACTTCACTCTCTACCTTCCTGAGGATAAGCCGTCAATCCTCTCCGTTCTGCAACTTCAACTCTTCCATTGCCCGTCTCCTTCCCTTCAACACCACACACATTAGGTGCTTAATAAGTGTCAGGTCACCACGTCTCCATATCCTGAAGAACCTTCTCTTAACCGTGCTACTGTCTGCTCCCCTTCCCCCCGCAGTCAGGCTTCTGAGAACACCAGCTCCGTTCTCCAGTTTCCCATCCCCTGCCATTCTGGGTCCCAGCCCTACCGCTGGGTGTCCAGGGTGCCTCACGCTAATGACGCCACCCCTTCCACCCACCCCACCCCGCTCCCCGTCTTCACTCTCAACTTCTCCACAGTAGGAGCACTCCTCGTGGTTCTAGACATTAATAATACCCCCTTGGCATTAATAATACCCAGGAGTGTCCTCCATCCTCCCTGCCACCTTTCTTGCACCTGCTCCGCTAAGACCCAGGGGTCCCCAGTGTCCTGAACTAGACCACCTTCTCTAAAGTCACACTCGGTGCTTAGGCAGCCTCGTTTCCTTTATGATTATGGAATTTCCCAGCTGCTTTGTGTTCGATTCATATGAGACAGTGTCACACAACCTAAAAGAAATCATCTTTTTTTCCATATGACATTCATGACACTGATACCAAAAAAGTTTACTTGACCTTGACCTGTGAAAGCACACTGCTCCCGGATGATGGCTCTGCTGACCTTATCAACAGCAACAGCGTGTGCACCAGGAGCTCTCTGGGGTCCTCGGCAACATTCTGAGTAAACTCGTGACATCGCTGCTGGTCTGGGTGACAGTGTGCTCCTGCGGCAGCCCCATCACACCTCCGCGTGGAGGGGCCCGTGTGCCCCTCACCAGTCGAGGCTCTCCCCTAACCCCAGTCTCCTCCTCCTGACAGTCACTTTACCAGACTGTCCACAGGTCCCCAACTCCGGCTAACCACACCAACATATCAAGTCCCAGCTGCTCAGCCCTGCCCTCCTTCTTGCCAATAGTCTCACTTTCATTTTTGACACCCCCCCCCCAGCTCCTTCATTTCTCCCCCATTCAATGAGTGCGGTTAACATGACTGATAAAGACCAAAAGGACCGCTGCCAGGCCCTGACCTAAACATTTTCATCTACTAGTTCACCTGATCCTCACAACCAACCTACAAAGTAGGTTTTAAATTGTCCCATATCTAAATGAGGCGGCCAAGGCTCAGAGAGGTGAAGTGTCTTGCTCAGTGTCACCCAGGATGGAATGTGGACCCAGGTGGCGTGAGGACACAGCCCTCGTGCTTAACCCTGCGCTGTTGTTGGCTTCCTTTGCGTGTCACTGGGATCCGTGTCTTCTTTCCCGTTTCCATGGCATCATGTGGTCCTGGTGGCCTCCCTCCTGTATTCCTGGAGAAGCTGCTCATGGGTCTCCCTGTCTCAGCCTCTCCTCCACCTCGATCCTGATCCAACCCTCAGACAGAGTCTCCTGTCAGTCACCTCCTGCCCTGATGGCTCCCTTCCGTAGTGGGGTATGTGAACTCTTTCCCAGGCTTATCTCACCCACTTCTTTGCAAGTATTCTGCCTTCTCGGAGCCTGAACAGGCTGCCACTCCTTTGACATCACGGCTCCTCCCGCCTCTGCCTCTGCCCCTGGCTCTGCTCAGCTGCCCCTGCCCTCAGCCTGAGAGCGGCCTTTTGTTGGAATGCTCCCAAGCTCCTGCAGCAGTCAGATCTGGGTGTGAGTACCGGATGGCTCGCAAAGCACTTTCCCACTTCACAGATGGGCAAGCTGAGGCCCACACAGGTGAACATACACCCTCCAAGTCACACTTCTGGTAAGAGGTAAAGCGCAGGGTAAATCCAGTCTTCTCACTCCCGGACCCAGGGTGTCCCAGATAACAGCGTCTTCCCTGCCCATGGCACAATGTCTCCAGTGTTCAAGCCATTCCTCACAGGTCCTACCATGAAACCACCAGCCTCCACTTGGCTGTCCAACCGCAAACTCCTCCTGCCAGGTCAGACCCTTTTGGTGCTCAGTACACTACCAACTATACAGCAGGTACTCAATAAATGTTTACTGACTGAGGTAAGTGGTTTCAAGATCAGAACATGCTCACAGTCTGCTGATTGGCCCACTTACTTGGCCAATCCCTGTGAGTGTGTGTGTGTGTGTGGGGGGGGGGGTCACAGGCTCCAGAGGTCCAGTCCCTCCAAGTCCTGCTGGGGAGCAAAGGAGCTGATGGCAGATGGCTCACAGCTCTAATCAGACAGTCCCCTCATCTCACTCCCCGAGGCTGGCTCCCCTGGCTTTGGCAGCAATTATTTGATTCAGCCAGAGTGAAGGGCACCAAACTCGCCATCAGAATGTGCCTTCCGCGTATCTCCTGGGGGCTTCCTGCCTGGGCAGAGCGAGTCAGAGCGGCCACCCCTTGATGAACCACACGCTGCTCTGAAGGCTCTGGGAGGGCGCCACCTGGAGTTCAAAGACAGCACTGCCAGAGAAGGGGAGAGTTTGAGCTGCTTCACCTCCCAGGAAGACAGCAGGGGAGGGTGGGGGGCAGGGGACAGGAGGGGGAAAGGAGAAGGAGGGGGGGGGGGTCTGCATAACCATATATCTAACAAATTAATTTTCTTTTCAGACCTAAAAGCCTTCAAATCTTTTCCCTCCAAAAATAAAGTTTCGGTTAAGTAAGATCATGTTGAATGGTTTATCAGCCATCACCGAAATGGGTGATGAGGAAAAAGTTTATGCATCAGGGGTGGTGCTGGGGTTTGAGCACCTCCCCCTTGTGGCTCTGCCTTGCAGGAAAGGCTAAGTGTTCAGACCAATCCAGGGAATGGAAGTGGTTCTGCCCTCGTGGCAGGGGACAAGGACCAGGGCCCTGAGCAGCCCCCAGACCTGGTGCAGCTCCACTGTGTGCTCAGGTCCACAGAGACGATTCCTTCCATGGGCACTTCAATCACGACACACCCAAGGCCATACGGAGTGGCTTTATGGTGCTGCCTGCAGCTGTTTTCCTCCTAGTGGTTTATGAAGGCTCCATCCGGGTTGGGGGGAGGAGGATTTGCCACTGGGGAGGGGTGAAGCAGGCTGCACCTTCTGAACTGCTAATCATCCCAATGGGACCTGTCCTGCCTTTCCTTTTTAAAAATTTTTTTTCCTTTATTGATTTTACAGAGTGAGAAAGTGAGAGGGAGAGAGAGATAGAAACATGGATGAGAGAGAACATTGACTGGCTGCCTCCTTCATGCCCCCCACTGGGGATCGGGTCCACAACCTGGCATGTGTCCTGACCAGAATCCAACCAGTGACCTCTTGGTGCATGGGTCGATGCTCAACCACTGAGCCACACTGGCCGGACTGTCCTGCCTTTTCTTAATGGGACAGAAGCCCTGGTCTGCCTGTTAATTACTAAACAGATGTTCCAGAACTCACATGCCTCTCCTCAGAGAGCGGGGGCCTGGGAATGTCCTGCTGCAGGGGTGGGGGTGGCACTGGGCTGACAAGGTGATGCATCAGGGGCAGGTTGGCAGCCAGAGCACTAGCTTCTCTGATAGCTGCACAGCACAGGAGCTTCTGAGGGGCTGCTGGGACGACAGCATGTCCGCCTGACTGACAGTGCTCAGCAGAGTGCCCGGCACAGGCCCTGGTCACCCCACCCCTCCCTCCTCCCTGTCAGCACCTGGAGTCACTGTTCAGGAGAGAGTCTCCACCCTTCTGTGGGAAAGCAGAAAGCTGAGTGGGGCATGCCCTCTCTGCCTGGGCTGCCGGGAAGCCAGGGGTAAATGTCACAGAAGAAGTGAGCAGACCCACTGGCTTCCCCAGGCAGCACCATCACCACCGCGTGCTACATGAATGGTGTCCCCTCTCCTCTGCTGTACACCAGAGCCCCTCCCACTAGGGTCTTCCATGGGCTGAACTGGGAGGACACTTGAGTCCTTATGTTACAGAAACTTTCTGCAGCATGTGCCCCTGTTGGTTCCTACCCCCCCCAAACTTTCTGTCCCTTTAGCTTCTGGGGCACTGTACCCAACCTCTCTGACAGCTGTTTCTTCCCCTTCTCAGCGCCTAATTGCTCATGTTCCCAGGTAGACCGTCCCTGCACCTCCCTTACTCCTGGTCTCACCTCAAAGCCAGGCCACCTGAGCTCCAGCCCAGATGCCCCCAGGGTGTCCCTCAGGCACATCAGCATCTCCATACCCTTCAACCTGCTCCTCCATGAGGGTGCACGGTGCCCTGGACAGAGACCTCTTGTCTGTCCGTCACCCCACATGTGTCAGTCACCAAGCCCGGCCAGCTGAGTCTCCTCGGAACTTGAGTCTGACCCTCCCCTTTCCCAATACTCAGCCTAGTTCAGGACGCCTGCACCTATGTGGTCCCATCAAATCCACTCCACAGTCACCACAGCCCCAGAGCTGACCAGGTCATTCCCACTGCCCTCAAGAGAGTGGCCCCCTCCTTCGCCTGGCACCCCAGGCCCTGGACAAGCTCCCTCCCAACCTCATGCGCTGCTACCATCTCCACCAGACTTGACCCCTGGCTTCTCGTCCCCTGGCATACCTTGTGTCCTTCCCACCATTATTCACGCTCTCCCCTCCTCCTTCCCAGTGCTCTGCTACACTCTGCCCTAACTGATCCCTTCTCCACCTCACCCCAGACTGGGCTACACCCCGCTGTCTGGTGCTGCACCCTGAGAGGGGATGTGGAAAACACCGGAAGTCAGTCCCCCCAGTGAACTGTGAGGTTCTCGAGGACAAGGACTGTGTCTTGGCCACCTTTGCATTCCCAACACTTAGTCCCACCACCTGGCTCCGAGTGGGCATTCAGTGGGCATTGGCTGAACGGACCTGAGCCAAAGCACATCCATTCATCACTCCCGTAGATTCTGAAATCACCTCTGGCTTTATTTCCCATTGCCTGATTGCACAATGTGTTTAATTCAACCCACTTCCTCCTTCTGAGCAAGAGTTTGAACAATGAGGAAAGCAGTCTTTGGGCAGGAAACCAGCAAATGGAGGGTGGTGTTTAGGAAGGGCACCTGTATAGTACCCTACTGCCCCAAGGTACCTCCTACCTTTCTCGGGGTCCTCCAGGCTCGAGCGGATGAGCTCCACCACTTTCTCCACCTCCTCACTTTTGCAGACATTGAGCTGAACAGTTCTCAAGCGATCACTCTTCAAGCTGTCCAGTTCCTTGGATCCAGCATCCCCTTTGTCCTAGGGAGGAGGGAAGAGCTGTTTAACCCCCCTGCCAATAGGAGGAGGACCAGGGCCAAGGTGCGGAGCTGGCCCCAAGTCCCTGCCTAAGCCTGGGGCTGCTAACAACCACAGGCAGTGGTCTCTGGAGGCCCAACTGGGCTTCACCCCGAGCACTGATGACATACCAAGCACCAAACTAAGTGCCATAGACACAACCATGAGCCCGTAATCCTCACTGGCAGCATCATTTCTTTAAGCAGAGGTTGCAAACTCAATACCTGCCTGGGCCAGGCTTGTGGGTATCACATAGAGAGAAGGGGGGACACAGGAGTGGAGCGCAAGCCTTGCCGCTCAATCCTGCCAGCTGCTGTCCACATGTGTATGTGAGCCCAGATGCTTAGATGCTTAGATTTTTAAGTTTGTAACTAGGATTTGTGTGTGAAATCTCCTAATTTTTTAAGTGTTAGCAACTTATTTGGGTTCTCTAAAAAAACAGTAGGTTGCCCTGGCCAGTTTGGCTCAGCGCTTGTTAGAGCATCGGTCTGCGGTCCAGAGAGACCCGGGTTCGGTTCCTGCTAAGGGCACGTACATCGGTTACAGTTTGTCCCCGGCCCTGGTCAGGTTGTGCGGGTGGCAGCCACTCAATGTATCTCTCTCACATCGATGTTTCTCTCTCTCTCTCTCTCTCTCTCTCTTCCTCCCGCTCTATCTGAACAAAAAATGGGAAAATGTCCTCAGGTGAGGATAAAAAATAAAATTAAATTAAAAAAAAACAGTATGTTGGCCAAAGCACATCCACAGGCCACAAATCTGTTCTAAACCAAGGCCTGTCACCCACAAGTTGCCAAGAGGCCAGGGCCAGGCTCTGCTGCCAGTTCGGTCACCAACCAGGCTCTGGGCTCAGGTGCAGCCTCAAGGTGCCCAGTTCTCCAGCTAGAGTTTGTCATAAGTCACCACCGCCTGTCCTGACCTGCTCAAGTTAATAGTATAAGGAAATTGTTTTTTTAAAAAACCTGTTAAATGATAAAGTGCTATGCAAATTCGGGTATTACTACACATGAGAAAAGTACCACTCACTCAGCAAACATGTCTTGGGCCACTGTCATGTTCCAGCACTGTGCTAAGTAGTAGAGACACAAAACTAAATAACTCAGGCCCTGTTCTCAAAGAGCCACGTTGTAGGGAAGGAGGCAGACGAGCCGACGAACAACACAAGGAGTATTTGCTTCAGGCAAGCTCGTGGGAGGTGGGGGCTGCACAGAAGGTGGGCGGGCAGGGAAGGCTTTCCAAAGGCAGGGGCAGCGAGGACACGGGCCGGAGGAGCCCCTGTGGATGGGCACTCCCAGCAGAGGAAAGGGGGTGCTACCAGAAGCCAGTGCAGGCACAGCAGAGGCCTGACGACGGTGTGGGACATGGGGCGTGAGGCTGGAGAAGAGGGCGGGTCTGTGTGGGGGCTGTGGGGGCGGCTGGAGGATCTGGATAAAAGCAGGTGTCATTTATTGACTGTTCACAGTGCTTCACACTCTGCTAAGCACTTGACATGCACTGTCTCCTTAGTCCTCCCATCACGAGGCAGGCCGCATTAGCATATTCATCTATCCTGTGACACATATTTTCACAATAGGGATGAGCTACAAACGATGTGAAAATTAAGCACTGTCAGTCATCATTTAATTGGCCGTGACTTTCTCAACGGTGCGGTGCGTGAGCAGTGATGCATCGTACAAGGGGTCAGGAGTCGCTGCAGAGGGTGAAGTGGTGAGAGGAAAGCCTACTCTCAGTGCAGGGGTGCCCACCGCACGTACAGCGGGCACTGAAGCCGCGGCCGGGGCACAAAGCTCAGATGGTCAGCATGTCCGTGGAAAGTTCTCTACAGGTTAGGCCGAGTCTCGCACAAGGGGTTTGAACCAGGAGGAACCGAACCCCAGGACTGGAGCTCAGTGTCAGAGGGACCAATGTCAGAGAGACTCGGGAGAGAATGGTGAAGGGTCCGTGGCAACTCGGGCCATCTGATGGAGACGATCGTTCCAGAGAGAAGATTCAGGGAGCCGGCCTGTCCGGTGCAGTGCAGGGAACAGAACCAGGGCCAAGAAGTCAAATTCGGCTCAAAATGAGAAGTGACTTCCATAGTCTGGAGATGGCGTGGCCTGCCCAGGAGGTTTCGGACAGGTGGGGATGTAGAGCAGAGAAAGCCCAGGCATCGGACAGGTCAGGCGGGGCCCCTCCTCTAAGATCCCTTCCTCCTCTAAACTGCCATCTTCTCCAGGGAGCTGTACCCACTCCCCCCGCCAGTGGCCCTGCTGAAGAAGCAACATGCATGGCCCTGAATCTCTGCCCAACTTGGCACCAGAATGGCAGCTACACCCAGAATCACCTCTGTACAGAGCAGCCAGGTGTGAGGCTCGATTCATGCAAGGCTCCGAAACCCCCTGGGTGTGCCAACCTTCCCAAGGGACATGGCAGGTTCCCTCTGCAGGGGAGCAGGCAGGCCTGGAGGCTCTGCTGCTGTTCCCACAGAAGGCTCCAGAAAACGATGCCCCGGGACGCCATCTTCAAATCCAGAGGCTGAGGTGCTGGCGCCATAGGCACCTCTCGTCCACACACGGCACACAGGCACCCGGAAAACACGTCGTGTTTCAGTGCCGTCTTGGTATCGTGGCTCCTCAGATGCCCCTCGGAGCCGAGCCCAAGTAATCTGTGTTTCTGAAGGGGCGCTGACGTCGACTTCCAGTAGGACAGACGCCAGCGAGGTGCAGGAGAGGTACCCGAGTGTCCTCTCCTCTCCCCGGACCCGCAGGCCTTGCCTCGTGCCTCGCGCAGGGCCAGGGGAAGCGCCTCACCGCGCCAGGTGTCCACACGGGCTGGTTTGGCAGCTTGGCAGCTAAGAGCTTTCTCTCGAAGGAAACTCAGGGTTCACCTCACTGCCCACAGCTTCAGGCTCAGCATGCAGGCCCCCAGGAGGGAACCCCACTCCCCGACCTTCACCTGACAGCCCTCCCCAGGAGTCCTCACCCATCTCTGAGCAGCTGTTTTGCCCTGAGCTGCTCAAAGGAAACCTTCCCAACGGCCCTCACCCTGCGGGCGGCAGACTAGGGGAGCCCACCTTCTGGAGCCACCGTCCTCAGGCCAAGGCCCCGGGGCTCCCTGGCTCCGGGTTTCTGTCTTGTCCACAGCTGTCTGCTGCTCGGAGACAGGCTTTCGGCCCTGCTGCGTTGGTGCCTATATAACTAGTTTATTGGTAACCCGCTTGCTTCCTTCCTATCCCTTTAAACTTCACCCGTGAGCTGTTTTCCACCCCTGGATGAAATTTCAGGCAAGTCATACAGCTTTCCCACTCATTCTCAGATAATAGAGCGCCTCTTTGTTTTGGTATAAAGAATCCAGCTCAGTCTACTAATCAAGTAACTCCAGCTCAGCCTGGTTTGAAAGCCCAAACTACTCTCAAACTTGTACCCAGTTTAGAGCCTGCCCTGACCCAGCCTGACGGAGTGTGGGACGCCCGTGTGGGACGCCCGTGTGGGACGCCCGAGTGGTACGCCCGTGTGGGACGCCCGAGTGGGACGCACGTGGGACGCCGTGTGGAGCCAGTGTGGACGCCCGAGTGGGACGCCCGTGTGGGACGCCCGTGTGGGACGCCCGAGTGGGACGCCCGTGTGGGACGCCCGTGTGGGGCGCCCGTGTGGGACGCCCGTGTGGGGCGCCCGTGTGGGACGCCCGTGTGGGACGCCCGTGTGGGACGCCCGTGTGGGACGCCCGTGTGGGACGCCCGTGTGGGAAGGCTCTAGCTCCTCCTCCTCTCTTACTCCTTAATCTCAGACCCTCCCAGGGTTGAATCCAGGAGCTGATAGGCGAGGGAGCAAGACCTAGACTTCTGAGGGTGATGCCACCGTCTGCTGCCAGCACTTTGGGATGGCAGATGCACGAGAGCTGGGTTCAAGAAGATCCCTTCCCTGGGGACTCCTGTGCCCTTTCCTCCTCCAGCCGGGCGTCTTCTCCCTCTGGCCGGGTCGCATGGGTCCTCTAGGAGTTTCACTGGGTAGGTGCCCTTAGGGGAGCTCTCCCTTATCCACGTCAGGTTCAGAAAGGTCCTGCCCAGGTGGAAGGACAGCCCCTGCCCTGAAGCTCTCTGCTGCTTCCCGACGAGCTGCTCCGGCCTCTTTCCTGGCCCTTGAAGCTTCTTTTGGTAAACACTCCGTTCTGTGGCCTCAGACTCCAGGGGACAGAGGGCAAGCTCCCCAAGGAGTTCTCTTGAAACTGACTTTGTTTACCTTGAGACCAGATGGAAACTGCCACAGCACACTGCAGTTCTTTCCCACCTCTCCCCTCCTCCACCTCGCGTCACAGCGAGGCAGGTGATGGCTGATCCCGGCAGGAGGGGTTTCCACTCTCCCAGCATTTATTGTTCGTTGTCTAGCACCTCAAGGCAGGGTGTGAGGACACTCAGCTCGTGTTACATGTGAGCGTCTTGTCACAGGCAGGAGAAACACTGACGAGAGGAGCGAGGCTGGGGCACTGCCCTGGTTCCAGGAGAAGCAGCAGGAGGAGCTGGCACAGAAGATGGAGAGAAACGGAGAGTGGGGTGTCCACAAAGTCAAGAAACAAAGTGTTACAAACAAGAGTAGTCTGGTCAAGTCTGCTGATGGGTTGAGTATGTCATGGTCTGAGAAGTGACCCAATGGATCTGGCAAAATGGGAACTTTCGGCTTCTTTGATAACAGCTGTGTCAGAGGCATTCGGGGCCCTCCTGGTCCAGTCCTGCCCTCCTCCCAGCTCATCTCTTCTTCTTCCACAAGGGCACTGGGCTTCAGCTACGTCAGACTGCTGGCGGTATCTGGATATGCCCCCTCCACCCACAGGGGACTCCTGTGTATCCTTGCAGAAGGCCATGAGGTGCCACCTTGGTCTGTCGAGCCTTCCCCATGATCCCGGAGAGAGGCAATCTGTTCCTTCTCCGATACAAAAATCTTATATTCCTCCCCCCAGACCCCCACCTCTGCCACTCTCACTCACACTCCTCC